GTATACCGATGCAATAGAATAATCAAGTATTCGATTAGTATTTGAGTAGCCCAGTAATCGAGTAGTACTCGAATAATCAAATACCTCGTCACAGAAGTGTTCGAATACTCGAATACAGAGAAACTCGACTAGCCCCAAGCCCCTAGTTTGCGTTGCTTGCCTACTCAAGCGTGAGTAACTCACGCTATAATTTATTCGACTAGCGACCAACGACGCCACACCTCAACGAGAAAGAAAAAAATTAACCACATTTAACCGCCCAAAGAGTGATATTTTTATAAACATTTTTCGTCGTGTTTCTGTTGATTATAGCACATAAGAGAAACGGTTAGTACAAAGGGGGAACGTATTACGACTGAATACCGAGTAGATAGAGTGATATCATAGAGCAATCTATTTTTCTGAATATGGAATAACGCGCGATAAAATTCATAAAATAACCGATTTAAGATCTGGATTGCTGTCGAAAAGACAGTCGTAGGATAGATCAAGCCAGAAGTACTCTACTTTGTCAATAACCATGTCTGAAACATGTGTGTCTATTGTAACAGTAATGGGCAAAACCCCTAGGCTTGGAATAAATCTGAAGATTGCTGATATTGCTCATTACTGCATTGTAATAGATACCTCACGTTTGCTGTAGCTAAATTAATATGCTTCGTGTGTACTATTTATCTTACCTGTTATATATTTATCATGGACCTGTTCTGTAACAGAAATGAGAAAATTCTTCTCCAAACAAAAATTGAAAAATAAACAACTTCTGATGTGTTATTTGTTTGGTAACAATTACAATATAAACTGTGTGATGAAAATGTAACTATTAATAGATTTGCTAGGTAATTAAAAATAAATCTGGAGTCAGTCATGGTTTTTTAGAATGGATTGTTCAGAGGTTTTCGAGATAATAATTTTTGCCTCCTTGGAGGATAAGTATCTTTTGCAAACAATATACAGTCAGTGTAATAAGTATTTGTATAGGAACCGATTCAAAATAAAACTTCATATATTTATTTCATTAATAAATTTTAGAGGAAGAAATAATTAAACATTCCTACATATTTTTAGAGTAAAATTTGCGTAAATTAAAATTTATTATTTTTAATGATAACCTCTTATTTCTTTTATTATTAATTTTATTTTAAATTGGTTGCTGTAAACACAAATAAGAAGTGATAAATGCTTTTTTTAGTATATGCTTATTTGAATAATTAATCACTTGTTTTTTGTTATTGAAATGTTTCCCATCTCTGAGGTAGATCTATCTTCTTATACTACGCTATTTAAATTCTAGTCGACATAGTATTAATCGTAAACAATTGTGATGTAATGGACACGGATATTAATATCCCTGAAATTCAAAACTATTACAAAATATCGAATAAGAACGATCATTGTAATTGTCTGCACGTAGCTACTATAAGCGACTACATATTACTCAATACTTATTGTGTTTTGATGGAATACTACTCGAATGTGGACATACGTGTTATGTATCGCTAATAGAAATCTCTATGTTAAAATACCCTCTAATTATTGTTAATGGCATTCAATGAATATTAATGTCACATAGTAAACTCACGAAGTATAATTAAT